CGTTTCGACCGATCACCCTCTACCAAGCATCCAACACGACAGCGAGCTCTTAGTAAAAGTGCAAGCTGTAGGCCTCAACCCAATCGACTGGAAAGCACCGTATGAACCGACCACCCAACCCCATGCCCACATATCAACTAACATCCCTCCAGCGACTACAACTTCGGCATCCCAACCCTCCCCTACATATCCGGTCGGGAATACAGCGGCACAGTTCTCCTCACCCCGACAACACCCTCGTCTCGCATCAAAAAAGGCGACCGCGTCCTCGTCCCCTCAACCGACTACCGCGACCCACGCAAAGCCGCATACCAGTACTACAGCATCGCATCCACCTTCAACACCATCCGCCTGCCTCCCAACCTCTCTCTGAACTCGGGCAGTATCCTAGGCGTAGCTTTTGTCTCCGCCGCCCTCACACTAGGAATATGTCTCGGCCTCGATTTCTCCGACATTGAGGACGGGCCTGACATTCTCGGTATTGTACGAAGTCTGGATCCGAAGGGTATACCGGATGATATACGACAAGAATGTTTCCATAGCATTGGCGTCAAAGAACGTATCAAGGCCGGAGATAACCTGGTTATTTGGGGCGCGGGATCAGTCTGTGCGTTCGTCACGATGCAGATAGCGCGGCTCGCTGGGGTGAAAGTCATAGCAGTCGCGGACGTAGTGAAACACGGTTCCAGACTTCTGGCCTCGGAAGCAGCGCGACCGGATTATCTCGTTGACGCGCACGACCCAGGAAGAGCGGTGGACATCATCCGCGCATATACGGGGAAGACAGGCGCGCGCTTTGGCTTCGATACGCTGGGCAGAGACACGGCGGGGCACTTGATGAGCGCTCTTGCACATCCCACTGTTCCAGCTTCATTACAGGCCAAACTGCCGACTCCGCCGTCAACACCGCATACCCCCATTTCAGCGGGGCACAGATCTCATCTCGTGGGCTTGACGGGTCTGCCGAAGGATGGCGTACCGAAAGACGTTGTGCTGCACAGTGTGCCGATTAAGCTGTACCACGAAGTGCCGCAAGTGGGCGAGGCGCTTAGTGCGTGGTGCGAACGGCTGCTCGCCAAAGGGATGTTGGTACCGCCGGATGTTGTGGGTACGGTGGAGGGGTTGGAGGGCGTGAATGCGGGGTTAGATCGGATGAGGCGGCGGGAAGTCAGTGGTGGGAGATTGGTTGCTGTGTTGAAGTAGAGTAAGGTGAAGAACAAGAGAAGAAAGGGGGGTTGGTGCGAAATCTTGAAATGGATGAACATGTGTGTAGAGGTAAGGATATCCCAATGCATTTTGATATACAGTACAAGTCGCGAAAGTCCCCATCTCGCCTTTTTTCGCAAAAGACTAGACGATGAATCTGCGCAAAACGCAGTGGTGGTCATCCAGGGTATTGGTTATTCGTAGTCGTCGTCGTTACAAACTACGCCAATGTAATCCCCTCCGCTGCGCCAGCCCAACTGGGCAGCGTCAATGCCAGCAAAACAAAGCACCGCAACGCCTCTCCAAAATGCATGATTATGCCAAAAGCCGTCAAGTTATGGCTGCGTTTTTGCTACGCCCCTCCCCCAATGCGCCCATGATGCAAAGTCCAAGTCCATGATGATGGGTATAGAGAAAGAGAAGAAAAGGCAAACGTGGAAATTGAGAAAGGGGTATGCGCTAAAAGACAAGGCTGATGAAGATGAAGATGATTGTTGCGTTGTCGTAGGGATAAAGAAGTCATTTCGGGTATTGAGTTACGCGGTTCGTGACAAGGGGTTTTGTTCAAAAAGGCCACAGGAGCAGCAACGTTAATGTTCGTCTTCGCTGCTCCATGCGCCGTCGTCTTCTTGATCGATACTTTCCATGACTTCCTTGATGACGCCGTGGCTCTTCGGGTCCAGATTCATAGCGATCGTGAGGTGGCGAATGGCGCTCGCGCGGTCTCGCAACTTCTTGTAACACCTACCTAGCAGGAAATGTATGTTGGGGTCGTCTGGAGCAGCGTCTTTCAGGTAGAGAAGCTCGTGTAGGGCCTCTTGCGGCGCGTTCAACTTCAGCAGGACTTGTGATTTGCGGAAGCGTGCCATAACGGAGCGTGGTTCGATCTTGATCGCGTTTTCGAACTGCAGCAATGCGGGTTCAGTCTTCTTCATGCGGTCCAGAACCTGCGTACTCATGTTAGTATTCGACAGACAAGTAAGAGCAATGATTACTTACCAAGCCTATCCGAACAAGGAGCATGGCGTTGTTCTGGTTGATCTCCGCCGCTGCCCGATAGTGCTTCTCAGCCACTTCGTACTTGCCCAGGCGCTCGTAGACGTTTCCAAGACCGTACCAACCGTTGTAGTGCCTGTTATCGGCACTGATGGCGTTGCGATAAGCCGCCATGGCTTTATCGAACTCCTCATTTGCGACATGCTCATGACCTTGGAGGGTGAAAGCATAGGCAAACTTTGGATCCAACTGGGTAGCTCGAGCGAAGCATTTGACGGCTTCATCATGCTGCCCGTTTATAGAGCTTGCATTACCCAGTGCACACCAAGCTTGTGGAGAGAGACGATCTTGGTCCATCAGCGTGTGTGCAAGATGACCCAAGGCCACCTCGTCCCTGAGCTGCCAGAGCGTATTGGAATACACTTCCATATGCTCTGAGGAAGCAGGTGCCAGTTCTCGTATCTTCCGAAACGTGATGGCTGCGTCTGTATAATGTGTGCGCTCGTAGTGGGCCTTGCCGATCTGCGCCAGGACCCAAGGTGTTTCCCGCTGTGACTTGGGCACGAGTCCAAATGCCTCAAGTGCCTTTGATGCATCATAGCGACTTAGATGCCTGTAGCCAGAAGCTATCTTGAGGAGCAGGTCCAGTAGCCAGCTCAGAACATCTCGGTCCCGTGAAGTATCTGCGGGCGGACCCATTCTTGGGGGCGGTGCGACAGTTGTCTCCGCCACGCTCCGTGGTCTCTCCGGCTTTGTGGGCTCAGAGTTGTCGACATGCGGTTTCCTGTTGCCACTAACAACTCTGCCCACAGTCGAGCCTGTCCCTGAGCGTGGCTTGGGAGCTGCCGCCCTTGCTTTCCGTAACTCGCGCCGCTCTTTCGACTCGAGGTCTCTGCTTGATGTGCCGCCTGGTCTGCTACTCGACGGCCGAATCTGAGTGATGGAGTTCAGCAGCCGTACACTGCGCCGTGGGGGAGCTGCTGTAGGATCGAACGGTTGCGATTGTTGTTGTGATTGGGAGTGAGGTTGCTGCGGTGCTTGTGAGTGGAGCTGCGGCTGCTGCAGAGAATGGCCAGATACGGTTCTCTTATGACCGTTCTGGTATACGGGCCGCGGAATGTCCGTCTGATCACTCTCGGGGTTTGTCTTGGTACGCGCTCTTGATGTTATGGGGCGCATTTGGACTGGGCCGCCAGCCTCGCCCATCATGGCGTGCTCGTCGTGCATGTTTTGGCCGTTGACAAAGGGGTTTTCGACGTCGTTGTATGAAGGCGGCTGCGCGCTGCGGCCATTCATTCTAGGCTGGAGGTTGTATGAGGAGGCGGGAGGGAGCATGTCGGGCGTAATTTTGAAGATGTTGTGAGGGCGGACGACGGCGCCAATGTCGCAGAGACCGGTGAAGGCATCCCACATGAAGGAGTTGATCTTGAGCGCGGCGACAAAGTGTTCAATGGCCCTTTTGGAGTCGCCGTGGGCTGCGTACAGCTTTCCCAGCATGCAGTAGCAGGCGGCGGCGTCGGGCACATGGCGTCGTGACGTCTCGGAATGCTTGTCTGCGCCGAATGTCAACACAAGTCACCAGTGTTTACTCCTATAATACTCACTCCAGTGGTTGCGCCCTGCCCAGGAGCTGCGCATCTTCTCCAGCGCCTGGGCTCCCTGCTCGTAGCGGCCGAGGGCGAGACAGGCCTGGGCAAAGACGTAGGCGCATCCTAGATGCTGGGTGTGGTTGCCCTTGGCCCGCGCATCGTCCAGGGCTTGCTTGTATCTCCCCAGACGGAGGTTGCACAGGGCAAGTAGGTGCGCGGCATCGTGGCTGCGGGGGTCGAGGGCGTGCAGGCGGCCGGCAAAGAACAGGGCGTTTTCAGCGAAGCCGTTGTCGAGGTGGTAGTATACGATCTGGCGCAGCTGGGCATTTACGCCTGGGGGTGCTGACATGCTTGCTGGGCGGCGGCGGAGACAGGGCGGAGACTCAAGGTAATGCGCTCATAGTCGGGGCGGCGTTGGCTGGAGCGGCGGCGGTGGTGATGTTGCGGGCAGGCGGGTGGACGCGGTCAAGGTGTAGGTTTACGCGCTACGAGTGCCAAGACATGTAACAAAACAATGTCCCGCCTAGAGACGCACGACGTTTCTCTGCACACGTCCAGCCAGTCACAGCCACATCGCACCTTCACCATGGCCAAGGTACGCCCGCCCGCCCGCCGCCCACTACCACGCCCCCGTCACTGACAGTCCCCGTAGAAAGCCACCAAGACGCTCGCGGCTTCCAATGCCCAGCGCCTCAACCAGACCCTCTACATCACCCTCGCCGTCCACGGCCTCTGGTGGCTCCTGCGTGCCCTCGTCTTCCGCGCCTCCCTGTCACGCAAGTCATTGATCGTCTATCTGCTCCTCTCGGCTCCGCAACTGCTCATCCAGCTGTACTTTGAGCGCCTCTCGCGCCCCACCCTCGATGCCGATGGCGCCGCCAAGCGACCTGGCGAAGACCTCGATGCCAAGGGCCTGACTGAGTACATGTGGGATGTCGTCTATTGGACGTATGGCTGCATTGTCATGGCTGCTATTGTGGGAGACTACGCCTGGCTCCTGTGGACTGTGATCCCCGTCTACAGTGCCTATTCCGCTTACACCACCTACACGGGCATGAGGGGTGGATACCAGGATGCAGCCGGTGTGCCCCAGCCGCAAGCAAGCAAGAGACAGGCCAAGATGGAGAAGCGAGGTGGCCAGAAGATGCAGTACCGGTGAAGGCCAGCGTCAGATCATCATGTATTATATATACAGCATTATACATAAGTTTAGGCCTCGACCTTTGTGGGAATCTTGGGGATGCCTCGTTTGCGGTCCTGGTGCGGCACACCATACCGCCATCCAGCAGCCGCGGCGCCTCTGCCGTCTCTGCCTGCAGTCTCTACGCTGACGTCCTTGAAGACGAAATCCCACCTCCGCTGCGGCACCACTTTCATGGCCCTAAGCTCCTCTTCTTTGCGCTTCTCTTCTTGCCTCTTCTTTGCTTGCTCTTGTTCAAATCGCTGCTCGGCAAGTTTCTTGCGCTCCTCGAACGAAAGTCCAGACTGCAACTCACGCTCAGCCTGAACAAGTTCTGGATGAGGAATGCGTGCGTCGGCCGGCAACAACGTGTTGTCAAAAGCCTTGCCAGCATCTTCACGCGTGAATTGCCGAGACTCAGCAACAGGCACAAAGAGCTGCTGGCGTGTCGCGGGGTGTACCGCGAGGTCATTGATGGGCTCGTGCGTGATAGGACGTTTGTTTTTGTTCCCAGGAAGCGAGGTATCGATGTGTGGGGTTGTTGGAAGCATGGAAAGAACCGCCTTGGAGTAAGGGAGCGCGAGTGTTTTGCCCTGTACGCATTGAATTAGCAATTGTAATACAGCGTGTTTCCGTTGTTTGAAAGAACAAGCCGACGACGTTCAGCAAGAGCATGACTTAAGTTTTGTAACCATGTGGATGTCTTAAAGACTAATCGATTTTTAAGAAGCTCATCATGTCGTGTTGTGGGGGAATTGATGAAAACGTGAGAACATACCTGCGCTATCCACTCTTTCTCCATTTGCTTCAGTCGCACAACAGCGCCGACGCGTTCATTGCTGACGCCAAACTCGACACTGGCGAGCGATACTGTCGCCCCATCTTTCTTGACTCTCCGCCAGATTGCTTCCCGGAGGTCTTCGCTCAATACTGGCTGGCTGCGGAACCACTGATTGAGGGGGAATGGCCGCAAGTCCTCTGCCGTCTCAGGCGGAAGCTTGCTGTCGTCGTCCGCTTCTTTCGGCTTCTTGGTATCCTTCTCCTCGGCTGCACCAGACTGAATGGCAGCATCTAGTGCATCCAGGCTCTCCTGTCCTGCAGGCGTGGCCTTTTCTGTCGTCTCCTCTGCCTTGGCCTCGGCTCCAGCTTGCTCTGCCTCAGTCGAGGCAGCAGCCTTCGCACCCCCATCTCTCCGCCATCCAGGGCCAGCGCGTACCAGGTTACCGTACTTGTCGTAAGCTCCTAGGTAGTTTGTGGAGTCGGGTATAGGTTCCTTGAGCTGTCGACCCGGCCCATTGAGCCACTCATAGAATTTCCGCCGCCGTAATGTGATTTGTGGACATGGTGTCTGTGAGAAATGTCGCGAATGCCGTGATGGGCTCCAGGCGACCTGTGGCCGTGCAGCTAAGCACTGAGTGGCCTGCGATGGGGTGGCCGATGTTGAGAAATTTTGACACCGTAACCGAGGAGGCATTTTGAAGATGTGGGGGGCTACCGCATTGGCGCAGGTATGAATTGGAGATGAAAGGAACAAGAAGGGAAGTCGTGTACACGTAAAGAAGTTTAGTGGTGGGAGTGGTAGGTTGGAATGCAGAGAAATGAGGAGCTCGCAGGAAATTCTAGTGACGCGCTACGTGTACTAGTGTCTTGGCAACAATGAACATCGTGGCCCTCCACGACTCCCTGGTGTACGATACGATCACTGAAATCTACTGACGCTTCTGAACTTGCTAGCAAGACTTTTCAGGTGATAAGAGCGGCGCCGATATCATAAACAACAGGATAGCTTTCGCTAATTAAAGATGGTTACAAAATAAGATGAACCTTGGAATCACCTGCATTATGCCAACCCACATTTACATCAGTATCGTATATAATACGCGTCCACTGCAGACATGGACAAGTCAAGAGCGCTTTCCACGGTGACGTACTGCATCATCGTAACTCGGCGGCGGTTCCTCACTACTGACCCTCTCTGTCTCCATACTTCGACGTCTCCTTTCGTACTGTGGCGCACTTGGTGGCTCTCGACGAGCTTCATCCAGTGCGCGCTGAGCCTCCTCGCGTTTCTTTTCCGTCCTGCTATTCTGCTCTCGAGTTGTGATTGGCGGCGGTGGCGCCGATGATGAAGAGCCATAAATTGCTTCATGCTGCTATAAGAGCCGGTCAGCTGACATCATGATTAACGTTTCAGGATCGGAACATACAGCAATAGCCTTCTTCTCCTTACGCTCGAGTCTTTTCTCGGATATGGTACGTCCCAGCTTCTCGGCACCAAGACCGAGACTGATGGCAAGGAGGCCAGCCTTGGTCATGTCAGTCAGTTGTCGCGTGCAGCTTGTGCACTGTAGGCTTACCATGGTAGGTCGTTCGGAGAAGCTGTAAGTGTTTTGGGCGCTTGTCTGCAGAAGTGCTCGACGTTGTCCACAACAGCCTCGCGCAGGTGGCGAATACAGCGCTTGTTGTTCGAAGTATCTCTGACGGTTCTTTCTGCAACACATGGTGAGAGGAGTTTGAGTTGAGTGTTTGAAGCGTTCAAGTTGTGTTTGTAGTGCTGAACTCTGAGAAGATGATGATTGTTTCATCGTGGTCTTCTGCTTACCTTTATACTATGTCGAATCCTACTACACAGTCTGACGTACGTATCGCAATAATACCCTTTTCTGGATGCCTGCAGTAAGATGCAGCGTTTCAAGTATTGTATTCTCGCTTTCGGTAGTGTCAACACGCCAAACGAGTTGAGCAGATTGATCCGGTGTGGTCGTTATGTATGACTTACGGCCGCAAGACGGTGACGTATGGCAATAGTGGCGTCGTCTACGCAGTGATGATTGGCTACTCAACCTACTATAAGGCATGCCGTTTTAAGCGAATGCGAATTGTTGCTTCAGAGACTACCATTTCTACAACTGAGGTTTAGCGTATCCTAGCCACGATCCGAGAGGTGGGATTCCTAACGGCGTTCACAGTTGGAGCTTGTTCCTACGTTGCAGGTTGCGCGGACCCAGGCAGTCAGGCCAATCGCTGCGATAATCTAGTCGAACGTTAATCAAGGCCTTGGAACGTTCCCCACAACACGCGATACTGGAAGCACTCTTTCTGCCTTGCCTTGCGGCGGCCATTAGACCGAAGCCACAGATTACTTCAACAAATATGTGTGGAATTACATGACAATCGATCGTAAACCATTGATATGTCTCGTGGGGCCATGGATGAGGGGCAGAAGGATAGCGTAGGAAAAAGACGGGTGAGCACACCTATGATTGGACAAAGGCAGTAAAGAAGCATGGTACATGGCCGAAGCAATGGGCGAATGAACGCCTTCCCCCCTCTCACAGGTGCACAAGATGGGTTTCTTCAGACCCTTGGGCAGCGGCGCTGAGCATGTGCCATGGAGGGCGTTGAAGAGGACAGACTGACTGTACTCGACGAAACTTGCTTTTGGCCCGGGGTGTGTACCGGCATGCCGAGTCTAGGCGCAAGGCACAGTGATTGGCAGAAAAGGCCGATGGTGCATGTCTGCCTGATAGACGATGGGACGGATAAGCAGCTTGGACGGGTGACGATGGGTTGGGCTCAGCACACCGGACGTGCAATGTCAGCGTGCCTTGGTTGCTGGCCCGCAGATAGGGGCCCGTGGATGAACGATAGTTCCGTGGATCAAGCGGTGCATCTTGGGGCCGATCTCTCTCGCCCAGGCCGCGACGACGATGGGGGAGAGGCTAAAGTCAGCCCTGGCTATACTCGAGGCCGCTAAGAGCCGGAGGGCCAACAAGACGGCAAGCAGCCCAACGCGACGAGTCTCGCCGTGGGAATCGAGCAGGCTGGTGTAGCGCAGCGCGTCGTCGAGTGGTCGAGATGGGGTACCTGTGTGACGGGCGAATCCAGGACTCGCACAGTAATCAAATTAGCTCCGACGCGCCTTCCCTGGGCGCATCACCAAGTGGGCAGTCGCGCCCCCGTCAACGCTATCCTGAGGGTTTCACTTGCACTTCTGCCGCCTCTCCTCCCCTCCCACAGCCGCCCCATTGCCTGCGCCTGCCCACTGCCTCTGCCTTGAATGATGAAGTGCTAGGCTGCCGCTATCGCCCTTCCGCCTCTGCTGCATTGCATCCCCCGCTGGCTGCGATTCCTGCCCTGCCGCCCATTGGCTTGACGCTTGAGTGTGCCAGAGCCTCGACAGCGCGCATCGCCCAGGCCCGCCGCCCGCCCACGCTCACGCCCTCGACCGCCGTGCCCTGCCTGCCAACCCACTGCCCCCGACACCCACCACCTGCCCAGGACCCGCTGCCGCTGCCGCCGTCGCCAACACCCATCACTGCCGCCATCCTCACTATCGTCGCCATCTTGACCGCCGCCGACGCGCAATTCTTCTGCGCCGCCGCGTCCTTTGTCGCAGCCACACCCGCCGCACCGCCGTCAAGACAAAGGCCGCCATGGCCGCCCGGCCGAGTCCCAGCAGCACAAGCCCCTCGAACCTGTCCAACAGCCCCTTCCCCCACGGCTCTCACGGCTCCCACAGCAGCTCCACCTCGTCGTCGCCGCCCAAGCCCTTTGCATCGCACAACACCATGACGGCCGACGTCTTCGCACCGCACATGTACGCCATGCCGGGAGCCGTCGGAGAGCGCAGGCCCCTCGACAAGAGCCCCGCGAACCACGCGCGCTACTCCATCCTGTTGCGCAAACTCCCGAGCAGCAGCGATCGCGACGCCGTGCGCAACATCCTGCTGTTCGCCAAGGACCTGATCGACTGCGAGATGCTCCCACCGTCCAGACATGCCGACGACAAGGGTTTCGCATCTGCCATTGCGCATTTTCAGACGCTCGACGGCGCAAAAGAAGCGCGTCACCTCCTCGACGGGAAGCGCAATGCAACCAACGATGCGACGCTGGTCGTCGAGCTGACGCAGGACGCATCGCCTGGCGCAATCGGCTCGCGCCGCAACACAGTCGACAGCACGCCGGCGCGACAACCGTCTGGCACAAGCGCCATGACCGGCGCGACAATCAACGCCCGGCAGTCATCGCGATACAACGGCACCTTCCAAAACATGGAGAACATGTCCCCACCCAACGGGACCCCAGGTCTTGGCAACGGAGAGTTCCCGGTCACCAACCTTTTCTCGCCGACATCCCCCGTCAACACCTCCTTCACGAGCCGCAATCTGGGCAAGTCGGTCATCAATGAAGACGCCGACGACGACGATGGCTTGCTTAATGAGTCGATTGGATATGCCACGGGTGGCCCGCCAATGCACTCGAGCATGCAGCGTCGCGCTACCAACCCCCATACCCCTTCCATTCCCATCCAGCGCTTCGGATCTCTTTCTCTAAACACAAACGGCGTGACGAATGCCACGTCCCCGCCTCTATCCAACTTTGCTTCTCCACGTTCTGGATCCAACATGCAATCGCCCGGCCCAGCCTTGTCTGCCTTGTCACCACATAGCATTCCCTCCGCACTGAGCAGCGGACCCAATACAGGCTACCAGCAGTATACGCAGCATTTCGCACGGCCCACTTATCCCCCAGTGAACCCCGCTGATCAGAACCCACCATGCAACACTCTTTACGTGGGCAATCTTCCCATGGACACGTCAGAAGATGAGCTCAAAGCTGTCTTCTCCAAGCAACGTGGGTACAAGCGACTCTGTTTCCGCACCAAGCAGAATGGACCCATGTGTTTTGTCGAATTCGAAGACACATCCTTCGCTACCAAGGCTCTGAACGAGCTCTATGGATACATGCTCCACAACAGCGTCAAGGGCGGCATCCGACTGAGCTTCTCTAAGAATCCCTTGGGCGTACGTAGTGGCCAGAATTCCGTCATGGGTCCGCAGTCTGCCATTGCTCCTTCTACGCCTCTTTCGGGGTTCGGTAGCAGTGCCGCAGGCCCGCCTGGCTTTTCCACGGCTACCGGCCCACCGCCTGGCTTGTCAGTACCTCCGGGCTTGTCCACCACAGTACACTCAAACAACAGCTCTGGCTTTGGCATGTACTCTAATGGTGGTTTTGGCATGGGCCACAACGACATGGCAGGTGCTATGCGCCAGCCTCTTGCATCCAGTGGTGCTGGGAACGGCTTCTCAAGCTATTCCACCTACATGATGGGGCGCTAGAGACACCAACAGACATTTGTTATGCCATTATGAGTCATGATTGAGGAGTTGAGGGTGCTCATCGAGGAGCGTTTGCATGTTCGGTCTTCATTTATTGTTGCCACTATATCCTGTCCTTTCAATCATGGCAAGGTGTTGAGTCGTTTGGGTTGTATTTGGCTTCATTAACGCACGGGCATGGGTACTGGCGCGGGGTGTCCAGGGCTATCATGCCCAGTGGGTGTGGCTCTCTTTGCAGCATACAGCGATGATTCCCCCTTGTGCGATTTGCTTGTTTTATCATTGTACCGGAGTATGGAGAACGGTCCTTCTTTTCGTTGCAATAGTACGCATTGCCTTGGCCTTGCGCCTACCCTCGCCCCTTGTTACCTTGGATCTTCTTGAGGAGCTGGACGTATCTTGGAGTATGGCGAGGAGTTAAAACATGTCCTTTCCCATCACGTGCCAGGAACTGCATGTAAGACTTGTCGCTACTATTATGAATCCCTAAAACGCGTGCATTGCTAGCTCCGTTCTGCCAAGTATTGTAGTGAGGCGTTTATTGAATTGCTATGGTTCTCCGCGGGTTCTTTCCAAGGCATGAACTGCAATTAATTTCGGAGCTCTCTGCACTAGGTAGATTCATCAGTTGGGCTCCGTGGCATGTTGCTGTCACAGCAGGTGCGTTTTCTTCACTCCGCATTTGCTTCGGCGTCAAAACCACGGCATCGTAATTTTCAACAACGTCTAGTTCCATGCTCACATGCAAGATTTATTAGTGAAAATATAGTAACCCGGTATTAATGCATCAAAGTCAATTTGGAAGTTCGAAGCAAGACTTCACGCTGCTGTTTATCGATAGCTATGCAGTGCTGTGCCTAGATACTTGAGCAACAGCAGATCTATCCAACCAGTGTCTCGCCTCTCCTCTATGAAAATGAAGAAGATAACCTCGTCATCCTACCTTGATTTTGGTTGTGAAAGATTTAGCCAGACGCGGAATGTTCAGGAGATGTTGTAGAAGGTCTTCGATTTGTACGAGGGAGGGCCACGATCTAACTGAAGCCCCACGCGCGGAATCGATGCGCATCGCCAAGCGCGGCTGACTGATCGATTGAAAATCCTCCGGTACCACGGACTCCCGTACCCGGCGTACCGTTAGCTACAGATTCCACTTTACGGGCGATCTTCAGGAGTAAAAAAGTTATCATGATCAAGCAGCTTTCTCAGCATTGGCATTAACTCCGGAGTCCCGTTGTTGTGATCACGTCATGCCCACCTTTGCCCCGCGCTCGCTGTTGACAGGTCTGATAACGGGCCTATTCCTCGCCTTGTTATTGCAGCAAGTGGTGCCTGCTTTGAAACTGCCGACCTACCATAGTCACGACGCGTCTGTAACATCTACGCCGCTATACCTATCCGAGTCGATGGCGCAGGTTGTGAGAAATAGCCTCCGCGCCGCTAGGCATCGTGCGTGGGTCGGCGGTGGATACAAAAGCGCATCGTCGCTGCTCTCTCCATCTCCAACATCTGCTCTTCGCATCCATCCAGCCTCTCCAACTACATCACGCACTATGTCTACCCAGAAGTCCTTCTTCGACGCTGTCATTGAGCGTCGCACATACTACCAGCTCAACAAGGAGTCGCCCATCTCCGACAAGCAGATCACTGATATTGCTGAGAAGGCTCTTCTTCATGTCCCTTCATCTTTCAACTCTCAGAGCACCCGTCTCGTCGTTCTTCTGAACAACGACCATGAGAAGTTCTGGGACTTTGTCCTTGAGGTTCGTACTATCCGGAAGACTCCACGCGAGGTGTAAAATGTTGTACTTAATACAGACTAGGTCCTGAAACCCCTCACTCCTGAGGAGCAATTCCCCAAGACTGAACAGAAGATTGGAGGATTCAAGGCGGCTAAGGGAACAGTAAGTGCATGTATCGTATCATAAGACACCATCTAACAAGATACCCTCAGATTCTCTGTTATGAAGACCCCGAGCCAGTCGAGGGTCTCCGCAAGGCCTTCCGTAAGTAATCTCAATCATTCATCTAGCCCATGCTCACATCCATCGTAGCTCTCTATGCCCATCACTTTGGCGACTGGTCTGAACACACGAACGCCATGCACCAGTACGCTCTCTGGGTCGCCTTGGAAGCCGAGGGCCTTGGTGCCAACCTTCAACACTACAACCCCATCATCGATCAAAAGGCTGCTCAGGAATGGAGCATTCCCCTGGAGTGGAAGCTTAGGGGTCAGCTGGTCTTCGGTGGACGCGCAGGCGAGCCCGGCGAGAAGAAGTTCCAGGAAGTGCAAGGCAAGAGACTGTTTGTGCACGGAGCGAAGGAGTAGATGCGAGTACTGAGTACGGGAACGCAATAGAAACAAGACTCATTGGACTTCACCTATCATAAGACGCCAACGTTGTTTAGTAGATCACTTGCTTTCCGACACTATCTTCCGGTTGATCGCAAGATGCTTGTCTAGGAACAAGAAGCTTCTCTGGGCTAACAAAGGCCAGGCTCCAATACTAGCCGACAACCCGCCATCTGCCGGCTCCGACGGGGTCCAGAGTTCCTTGTTTCCTTCCGGCACCTTGGTGAGTAGCTTGTGAATTTTGAGTGCCCCACTTTCTGCGGAAGAGTACATCTCGGCACCCCCACCCGGTCCCGTAAGAAGCACAGGACACGTGACCCTGTTCAGGATCTTTCCATCCTTCTTGGTGTCCAAAGAGAAGTCCTCGAGGCGTCGCAGCATCATACCGGGCGAATCAACACCCATGCTACTCACACCTAGGCCCAACTCCCACCGTATCTGGAAACTCCACCAGCTCTGCAGACTCGCGATCAAGTTGAACATTTCCTTGGTGACCCAACCGCCCTTCCATAGGCTGACGAAGGATTGCGGAACTCGTGTCATCGCAAGATCGAACATGCTGAAGAAAGGATCAATGGACACGCATGCCTTGACACGGGCGTCGGTGGCTGCGCGCAGAGCAAAGTAACCTCCAGTGACAGCGCCCGCAACAGCAATCCTACCCAGATCCAACTGCAACTCCGGCTGCGATTGGGCCAAGTTCTCAAGGAACTCCAACACCTTGTTTGCGACGACCTCAAAGTCAGGCCGAAGAGGAACCCCAGACTTCTTCAACAGCAAGCCCTGTCCTGGGCCCTCTAGTAGAAGCACAGCATAGCCCAGCTGCGGGCCCGAGTAACCGAACAGGAAATGCAGCTCTTCTTTCGTAGAATCAGCACCGCTGAAGTACAGCAGAAGTGGTATCTTGCCCGGCAGTCTCGCCTCTGGAGGAGGAAGGTACAAGTACGCCGGCATATTGACACCCTTCTCATACAGAACATCCACCAACCTAACCTCCCCCTCCATGAACGCCGTCGCTCTCACAAAAGCCTCAACCGACCTCTCCGACAACGGCACAACCCTCGCATCATCGTTGAGAAACAGGTACGAAGCCGCGCGGAAATAGTTCGACGCGCGCAGGTACCCGTTCTTCGCCATGGCGCTTAGCCCGTTCTTAGCAGCATTCTCTGCGATTGCTTCAGCCCGCTCTCCTTGTTCTTTCCACGCCGCATGCCAGGACTCTGGGTCGTTCTTCTTGATCTTGCTGGCTGCCGTTAGGAACTCGGCTGTGTCGCAGCCGCCGGCTGAGGTGCTGCCGAGGAGACGGGTCAGCTCGAAGTCGAGGATGGGGTTGTTGAAGAATTTGAACATGGTGGGTTTTGCGCGAGATTGATGCGCGCTGTTTTGGAGTTCGCTCTGTTGGTACTGTGAGACAGAGTGGAACTACAATAGGAAGAGTTTGGTTGCTTCTCTGCTTGACAAACTGAAGCGCTCTGTCAACGTTTCCGCGGGTACTTTTCTCGCAACGATTTGGCGGGCCTCGAATTGCTTCGGTACCTAAGCTACACACCCGATTGATCTCGATCTTGCTTGCAAGTTCCGATTCGGGGCTGATATGGCACTACTGAGTTCGTTGTGCTGCCTGTCGTGTATTACCGAATTCGGGACTTTCGCAAACGGCACTTTACATGTCCGGCCAGCCACTTCACGCCGTTGACATGGGCAGCATGTCGACGAGGCTCCGGTGTCATCTCTAACATCTTTATTCTTGATTCTTATTACCATTTTCTTCATTTCACCAGCCCAGTCGAATCAAGCGAACCAGCTAGATACGTAAGCTGCCTATCTAGGCACGCAACCTACAGCCTACACCACGCATACCCATACCTAGATTCACTCACTATCCAAACCAAGATGGCTGCCCCTCCAGAGGTCACGATGCACGACTTCACAGGTTCCTGGTTACTAGTAAATCAACCCAGACACCCTCCAAGTCGCCTCGCCCAAACCGTCCAACATCCACTAACAACCCCAGAACAAAACCCTATCCGACTCGTTCGACTCCGCCTTCGTCCTCCAAGGCATCCCCTGGATAATCCGCAAAGTCATCAGCCTCGCGACCCTAACCATGAAAATCGCCCACTCGGTCGACGAATCCGGCGTCCCAACCGTGATCTTCACGCAAGCTGCCTCCGTCGCCATCGCCGGTCTGAGCGAAGAGATAGAAACGCGGTGGTTGGACGGCCGAGAACAACTTCACTCGTCGTCTCTGTTCGGCACGTCTTCCGCTCGGACTCGCATGATCTGCTTTGATACTGCTACTGGGTATGACGGCAAGCCGCTGGATGCGTTATTGACGAAGGACTTTCTGCGAGAGGGGAAAGAGGGTGAAGAGGAGTTTTTGTTTGATCTTGTTGTGCATCAGACTAGGGGCTGGGTTATGGAACAGATTTGGGGGTTTGGTATGCTGAATGGGGAGAGAAGGCTGCTGAGGAAGATGGGCTTGAAGAAAGAAGGGGAGACGGTTTATGTTACGGCTTGGTATGATTGGAAGGGGAGAGATGATGGTGATTGAAAGGCTCTGTTGCCTTCACCCAGTCGCAAGTATCTAGATACTCGAAACCGTTATTCGATACCTCCTGACTATCGAGTTATTTATTACTATGCGACCCATGTGCGACCAATATGCGACCCAAAGGTCTCAGTGTGTCTTTCTCCTACCTATATTCGCCACTCTAGACGACTGCTGATCATGTAAGAGGTCGCTACAGGAAGGGCCGTCATCCTGCCAAGAACGTCATCATGACGTACAAGATATGCTAGTGCCCGGTTTTATCTCGGGAGGTTGAGATAAGGGATAGCAAAGTTGCATTGAAGTACTGCTACACTCCATACGGTATATACCCAGCCACCGCATCTAGCATCGCGCGATAATGTTCTCCCAGCCCACATCATCAGTCATCATGTCTCCCAGCTCCCTCACCACGGAGACCAGGCCCTGACAAAGTCAACAGCATAGTCCTTCTTCGTCCCCAAGAACCCCACACCATACAAGAGCCAAACAACCCATTGAGGAATGTATAGCGGGAATTTAGCCTGCTCCGTTAACCCACGCCCTTCATACTGCGGCCCACCAACCTCGCCGCCAACAACACGGTCCGCAAAGTCACTCATACCAAGGCCCTCACCGATACCCAGCTCAAACCACATCAGCATGTGCTGGGTCTCGAACCGCCACTTCTTGTCTCGAGCCGGTGACACAAACTCGAAGACACCGCCAGTGTTATTGTCGTGATACGACCCTCCGCATTCGCCACCGCTGTTATACGCGTCGAGAAAGTAGTCCTCAGTCTCGGAGACGTTGCCAACGCGCGTGCCTACTAGAAGCTCGTCGTTGTAGAAGAGGACGGCGGAGGTGAACTTCTTGCCCAGGTCTTCGCCCACGCGTGATACCACATGCCAGTAGGCGATGGTGTAGGGGCCTGCCCAGAGACGTAAAGCTACCCAGCTCTCCGTCAACGGAAGCCAGCCGTCTTTGGCCCAGAGACGGGTTGAGCCGCCTCTGCCGCTGAATGACAGCTTTTGTCCTGACCCCAGAACACTGTCCATGACCACCTCTCCACCGGCGACAGGCTGGCTGTAGTAGAGGTCGGGTGAGAGTAGCGCGGCGTCTGCTGCATTCTCGCCTTCTGAGCCTGGTGTCGAGCCGTCTGCGTGAACAGGTGGCGTGGTGGCTGATAGCTTGTATGTGCCGCGTATGGTTGGCGAATCGAAGACGAGCTTGGAATATTTAAGGTCCTTGGTGGTATAAAATGAGTACGACTTACCCGTACTATTCCAGATACCGTAGGTATAGCCAGGACAGTCCAGTATGGTAGACTCTTCGAGGTACTCAAGCATCTTGTGGTGCTTGCCGTCCCCGGTGTTGGCGAAAAAGTCCACTCGCAGGTTGCCTCTGCCGAAATAGTGCATCGAATAGTCGCGTGAGAACATTATCGCCAAGAGGGAAACGCCCGTGTGGGACATGCCATCGAATTCCCATTGCTCCCAGTTGGTCTTATTGATATTTGGGGTGATTTTGATCGAGTTGATGGGATCGGACGGGGATGAGGAAAAGTTGTTGGGACCGTCAAGCACTTCGAAAGCTGTGCTCCTGCTGATGGTACAGGATTCGTCGTCCCATTTTGGGTTCAGCTCGTCATCAACGGGAAATTCCGAGGAACCTAGAGGTAGCTGATGCAGATTTGCGGCGGTAAAGAGTGAGAAGAACGACGCAAGGATGAGTGTCGTGAACATCGTCGACATGGTACCGGAGCTGAGCTACTGCCTGATCACTGCGGTAAGTCGGCTGGAACAACGGACTTCGCTCGCGTATCACCTTCATTATACGGGTCAAGCATGAATTCAAGGTGTTTCTCTTTCTCACAACCACTACAAAAAGTCCCGAAAACTCCTAGTATGCACTTTGCTAGCTCTGGAAAGTCCCGACCCTGCTCATTCAACTTCCGAACTTCCGAAGAGCGCCAATAGCTACCACTCTAGAGTGTTTCCCGCCTGGGCCGAGAGAAGTGAAGTAAGCTTACTATCAGAATGAAAAGCAGTGAGCTGCATCTTGGGCACGCCATGAATCCAAGTGACTCGGCATACTGGGCCTGCGCTTCTCTACAGAGTACCAGACAATGGCGACATCAATTCTTCCAGCGCTACCCACATTGCGGCAGGCTGTCGTGCAGTCAGCCACGACACCCGGGTCCTTTGACCTCCGCACTGATCTGCCCATGCCAACCATGTCAGCTGACCATGTCCTCATTAAGGTGAGCGCAGTGGCAGTTAACCACTGGTAAGTCATCGCTGTGTGCAATGCATTTTAAGACATATACTGATTTCGTACGTCTACCCCTGTAGCGACTACAAGATGCCAGCCCGAATACATTGTCCCAATACGGTCGACGGCTGCGACTTCTCAGGCGCGATTGTGCGCGTTGGCGACGCTGTTTCCAATACCCCTGGCGGTCTGAAAATTGGCGACCGTGTTGCTGGCGCTCAGATGGCCTCCCAAGCTCGACGACCCTGGTCGGGTGCCTTCACTGACTACATCGCGGAGAAGCCTGACAATCTGTGGCGTGTTCCCGAACACTTCTCTTGGGAGCAGGCGGCTTCGATAGGATGCGCCGTGGCCAGTAGCGTAGGAATGGCGCTCTGGTGGGAGATGAAGCTGCCTGGAACGCCTGAGGAGCCGACTTCAGACTCCAAATTCGTTCTCGTCTACGGCGGATCTACGGCCAGTGGAACCTTTGCCATGCAACTGTTGAAGATGTGAGTGACCCATCGTTTCCCTTTCACTGCGAAGTGTCGTGAGCGTATGATGATTGATCTAACGTATTCGTAGGTCGGGCTATCGAGTCATCACGACCTGTTCTCCTAAGAACTTCAAACTAGTGGAAGAGTACGGAGCCGAGAAGGCGTTTGACTACCACTCGCCGACGTGTGGAGAAGATATACGAGCCTACACCAAGAACTCCTTGGAATATGCACTAGACATCATTACCGAAGCGAGGTCTATCCGCCAGTGCTACGCAGCCATTGGACGTGGTGGTGGTAGATACATTGGATTTGAGCTCTTGCCGGATGATCTTATGGCCACAATGAGGAAGGCCGTCAAGCCATCCTGGGTCATGGGCTTGGAGGTGGCCGGATTGGAGTTGGAGTTGCCAGGAGGGTACTATCGCAAGGCAAATCCTGAATTGCATGATTGGCTTCATGGGTGGATCAAGCGCTTCGCCGCGTTGCTTGAGTCCAAAAGATTGAAACCACATCCTATGCAGATCAACCCGGGCGGATTAGCAAAGGTGATCGACGGACTGGGAGTCTTGCAGCGAAAGGAAGTCTCGGCGCAGAAGCTAGTGTATCCTCTGTATGGATATTAGACGCAAGTAAAAGTAACCATAGGCCAATACGACTCGATCTAGTCATCAAGAAATGACATTGACTCCTTGATACTAGCTCGGATCGACTCTACGTACGACTTGCTACCATGCAGTGATTTGACATCCTCCTGTGCCATAACGGCCCAAAACAATCGGAGTCGGGATGGACTGGAAAATATTCCCGAGGCGCCCGCACTAGATGAGAAGGCTGCCTCACCCGAGAGGCAGTATTCGGCTGGAATGCCCATGCGACACTCTAGTGTCTGCACCTGGCACTGAATAGCGTCCAAAATGCCTGTGGCATACGCCTTGAGGGGCATATCTTGAAGTGCGGAGACGCCACCAATGCGGAGTACCGATTTGACTTTGATGGATCTATACGATTCCGGCGACACATGGCAGAGGTATTTGTGTATGCGCTGGAAAAGCGAGTCGAAGAGCCTCATCAACGCAAGGTAACTTGACAAGACTAGAAGCAGAGTTTCCGTGTTGAGTGTATCCTCGGTCTGCGTGTACAATTGGACAGTCGGTGTCAGGCTTTGAATTATCCCGGTGAACTCTTTGGTGCATGTCAAAAGTAGAGCTGCTGGATTTTCGACATCTCCCCCCACGGCATCATCTTTGCAACGCTGTTGGACTTTAGCGGCGTTTGAATAGTATGCGTCAATAGTCGTAATGCGGTGGTCTATTTCCTCACGGAACATTACTAGAGAGCTTGCCGGACTGGAAATCTGTGGTAGTGGTGTTGGCGGCATAATCTCCTCCCCAAAATTGAGGAGCGGGTCGATATTCATATCGAGAGCGGTGTTAGAGGTCGCGCCCATGTGGAGCAAGATGTCGAATTCGTCGTCTGCACCTGGGAGTCCCTGGAGTTGTGATGGAGCGCCAAGCTGATCTGCTAGGTAGACGCTGTCCTCACCCGACGCGGGACTTTGATCCATTGAAGATGGATAGGAGTCGAAGAAGGCGGAAATATCGCCCGTCGCACCCCAGAAATCTGGTAATGGCTCATGAGCGGCAGGGTCTCTTGGCGAAGGGAGGTGCTCGGCGGGATCGTATGCTTTTGTAGGCGCGGGTTGCTTCGACATCCCGGCTGTATGGGCGTTGTCGTGGTTCGCGTCCTGTGACTTCGACGCGCGATGGGCTCGGGGCGAGGCAACGGCGTGACGCTGCTTGGGCGGTCTTCCCGGATGACCGGCAGCGCCTGTTACGCATTGCGCGCCCATGTAGCAGCAGCGAGCGCACGCCGCCGTGCTGTCTTGGGCGCGAAGGCATCGAACTCGCTTCGCCCTGCACTGGTCTGCAGAGGTAGGGGTACGAAGTCAGTATATGTCTCACATGCACTTCGTACAGTCAGAACTTACCGCACGCGGAGCGCCGGACTGCGGACTTGTGCATACCTTTAGTTGGTGTCGTGTTTGGACAGACGCGGAAATGGGAACCTTGGAATGGAAAGCAACCGAGCTAAAGGATAGATGTTCGCATGATTTGATCAGGATAGGCTGACTGTTGTTGCGCGGGTTAGTCACGTGGTAAACCCCCCGAGGAGGGTTTGAGATTAGCCAATCGGCAAGCGTCGCCCCACTTTAAACCGGGGCCATGTCGAGGTGCGTGTGAAGGAGCGTAGTGGCCGGTTTCTGGAATTCAC